AGACTCCAAAAGGCAAATCTCATCATCAGAATTAGAGAGAAAAAGCAATCCGAAGATACTGGTTTACATATTCCTTCCCAAACCATGAAATCAAGTATCTCACTCTCCCGGCTAACAGTTTATAAATTCAGACTTTAAACAAAAGCAAAAAAAAAAAAAAAAAAAGAAGAAATCCTAATTCTCAAGCTTCCTACTTAGCACTGCCTCGCCGTTGATGATTTGTGCGGCTGTGTGTGCGTGCCTGTTTGAGAAATGGCGAGATAGGCTTAAAGTATTTTCCATTTCATCAAAGAGCATATATTACTTTCCCGGTTCGCTCCACTGTTGGTTTTATGCCCACCCCTTTTCAATCTGCCCATGCCTGAGATGCACAGTGCAGGCGTACAATCCTGAGCAGCTTACGACACTCAGTGAACACTAGGTGCCTCTGCATGCTCTAGCAACACACTGCTCAGCTGAAGGGAAGGGATTCTCGCTGTCTCTCTCTGCTCTAAGCATCACCTAACAAGCAAAGCGAACAAAGAATGGGAAATAAAGCTACCCTTAGCCGGTCAGTGAATGAATGGTAATCTCTCTCTGGAGTAAAGGTTGTGCCGGTCAATGGTCGTTGCAAATGATGGACATTAAAAAGATTGACAAATCCTGTGGAGTCGTTAGTAAAGAGTTTGGAGTTTTTTTCACGCCACAGTGTTAACTGCAGAGAAAAGGACAGAGGGAGAAGGAGAAGATCAAGCTCATGTACATAGTTCTGAAACTTGCAGGTCCTAGGAGTCAGCTAAAAAGCTAGCTGGACAAGCCTTTCGCTCGTTGAGCAGAAGCGAAGTGAGACATTGTGAGCTTGCCAGCCTTGCACAAAATTGAAAGGGACTGAATTTGTAGCACAGAGGGGTCTTTTTTAGCTCTGCATATAATTAGTCCAAACACAAAGGAAGCAACTGAATGGAGGTTGTCACTCTCTGGAAAAGGGTGGGTAAGACACTTTTTAATTAAATTCTTTCATGAAGAAAGATTTTTTTTTTTTCTTTGCTGCAGCATTTAACATGAACAAAATCACTATCATTTTACCTTTGAATGTCTGTGAACTTTAATGCTGCACAGCTCCTGCATGCTGTAAAGTGAAATATTTGCCTCTGTGTTTGTTCTGTTTGCTGTTTTGCTTTGGTTTTCTGGCTTTGTTTTGTTTTGGGGTTTTGGGGGCTTTTTTTTTTTTTTTTTTTTTTCCCCTTAAATAAAATATGATGTAGAATTTGAAAAGATTCAATGGACATTCTCAAGCATATTTGGAAATACTCTTGCTAATGGATTTCCTTCTTATTGGTCTCTGTTTAAACTGGCTGCTGAGGAAGCCCCCGGGGTTGATATTGTGTACGCTGGGTATCTTTTCTAAAATGCTTCCAGCCGTGAATAGTGGGTGTCCACAGCTCTGTCGGTGTGAGGGCAGGCTTTTGTACTGTGAATCACTGAATCTTACAGAGATGCCTCGCAACCTGTCGGGCATGATGGGCTTGTCTCTGCGGTACAACAGCCTTTCAGAGCTGCATGATGGACAGTTCACAGGGTTAATGCAGCTCACGTGGCTCTATCTGGATCACAATCACATTTGCTCAGTGGAGGGGAATGCCTTTCAAAAATTGCGGCGAGTTAAAGAGCTCACCCTGAGTTCCAACAAAATAACCCAACTGCCCAACACCACTTTCCGACCCATGCCAAACTTGCGCAGTGTGGATTTATCGTACAACAACCTCCAGTCTTTGGAGCCTGACCTGTTTCACGGGTTGAGAAAACTAACAACTTTGCACATGCGGTCGAACGCCATCAAGTTCGTGCCAGTGAGAATTTTTCAGGACTGTCGCAGCCTGAAGTTTCTAGACATAGGATACAATCAGTTAAAGAGCCTGGCTCGAAACTCTTTTGCAGGCTTGTTCAAACTCACTGAGCTGCACCTCGAGCACAATGACTTGGTAAAGGTGAATTTAGCCCATTTTCCCAGGCTCATCTCCCTGCACTCTCTCTGCTTGCGAAGGAATAAAGTTACCATCGTAGTAAACACTTTGGACTGGATATGGCAACTCGAGAAAATGGATCTCTCCGGCAACGAAATCGAATACATCGAACCTCACGTTTTCGAAAGCGTACCTCACCTCAAATCCCTGCAGCTGGACTCCAACCGGCTGACCTACATCGACTCCCGAGTCCTCGACTCCTGGAAGTCCCTCACTAGCATCAGCCTTTCTGCAAACGCCTGGGATTGCAGCCGGAACGTCTGCGCCCTGGCCTCCTGGCTGAGCAACTTCAAGGGTCGCTACGACAGCAATCTGCTCTGTGCCACCCCCGAGTACGCGCAGGGCGAGGATGTTTTGGACGCGGTGTACGCTTTTCACTTGTGTGAAGACGCGGCAGACCCCACGAGCGTTAACACCCTCTCCCCGGTAACCAACAACAGCGAGCAACCGTTCGGCTACGGCTCTGCCACCGCCACGTACGACGTGCAGGACAGCGAAGGGGACCGCACGACATACGCCATAACCGTGACCATGCCCGGCGAGAACTCGGAGAACGCCGTTCAGATTCATAAGGTGGTGACGGGGACCATGGCGCTGATTTTTTCCTTCCTCATCGTGGTTTTAGTGTTGTACGTCTCCTGGAAGTGCTTTCCAGCCAGCTTGAGGCAACTAAGACAGTGTTTTGTAACACAGCGCAGAAAGCAGAAGCAAAAACAGACCATGCATCAAATGGCTGCCATGTCAGCCCAGGAGTATTACGTTGATTACAAACCCAACCACATTGAGGGAGCCCTGGTGATCATTAATGAGTACGGATCTTGTTCCTGTCACCAGCAGCCAGCGAGGGAATGCGAGGTGTGATTTTCCTTGGGGATTTAAACAGTGTGCAACCAAATAACGGCGTGCAGGCAGACAGTGGCACGGGGGGGGGGGGGGTTGCTGTGCTTTGCTGGTGATTTCTGACGGGCTCCTCTGCCGAAATCGTTAAGAGGGGCTGTCTCAAAGACTCGATATTTTAGCTTTATTGTGTCTTAAAAATCTTCAGGACAGTCAATCTTAAGATTTCATATGCTAATACTCCCTTTGAAGATCTGTCAATATTCAGGAATCTGAGAGTGTAAAAAGGTACCAATTATTGATCTTTTGTAAACTAAGAAAACTGTTTAAAATAAAAAAAAAAAATAGCATTTACAGTTTTTACAGACTGGTGTATATTACATGAATTGTTCCCTGTATACGAGATGCAACAGTTTAACCTCTTTTTCTCTTCGTACTGAGTGTTGAAAAGAAAGTCTAGGAACAAAGAAGCCACATAAAATAGAAAGCTTAAAATTAACCAGATGGCTTCACGTTGTAATTAGTACACGTTCACTTACATCATGTTACTGAAGATATGAAGCATGTCACTGGAATTTTATTTTTGTTAATGTGCTACCTGTACAACAGTGCACCTCAGAAAGGCTAAAGTTTTGCCTGTGTCCCTGGGACGGGATTTCTGAGGATTTTGAAGTACAGCTCACTTGTTACTTGCTGTAAGATCCATAAAAACTGCATCGTAACCCCTAAAAGGATTTTGTATCAAACCTGATCCTATTGCAAAGTCTCACTAAAAAGAAAAAAAGAAACAAAGCAACAAACCCCAAACAACTGAAACACTGCCAGTGGTCGTCATCGTTTTCTTTAAAATAAAAAAGCCAAAAAAATCTAAATTTAAGGGCTTTTACTAGCATTTCCCACTTTTATGCTTGTTTTGAGATGTGCTAAGAGGGCAGAAACCCTTGCTCTGTGCACTGTGGTGCCATGGTGAATGGAGGAGAGCAAAAGCTATTTGGTTCTCAGTGGTGAAACCTCTGTGTGTTTCAAGAGTAAAACCTCAGCTGTAACACTGTCAGAGTAAGCCAGAGAGTTACTAGAGCATGCTTCTGGGTCCTATAGTAAACTGCTAGCAAAGCCCATCTCGTGTCCCTCCCTTTCACCACCAGCCTTCACTAACAACTCTAAAATCTCTGCAGAGGCTGAAAGTACACGAACCCTCCTTACTAACGACTGATAAATGGAATTGATGGATATAAGCAGTGATTTAATAATGTAGAATCACACAGCTGTTTCATTTGACTGCCCTTAAATAAAGGCTTCCTTTCCTTGGATTTGGGATTTTTCATTCCAGGATGTGAACAGCCTACTGAATGATTTTTTCGACAACTCCTCTCATACTAATGAAGAGGAGGTGGTTTTATAACATCAGGCAGAGCATCTTGAAATTTTCTTCATACAGCATTACATGCTAACAAAATGTTACAGATAATGAATTGGCTAACATTGCTATGCTTTGTACATATTTCCCTATCCTTAGGTTACCACCAATAGAGGAAAAATTCAGAAATCTAAGATATATTTTAATTTAACACAGGTTTTTTTCTTCTTGAGAGCATCAAAGTGCCACCTACTCCTAAATGGTACAGCTACAGCAGACTTAGGAAGCAGAGAATAGGCACAGAATAAACCATTTTTCTGCACAGTAGGTTTTAGCTATTGATTTTAAACAGAAACAGTGAATTTCATATTTTTTTTCTGACTGAGACTACTTTTAAAGAGTCAGAACTTATTTTCCTCTATGTGGTATATCTCAGCCTGTTTAATATTAAATATGATGTTAGCCTCTTAACCAAAATTTTTATTTACTGAGACTATAACGTCATCTGTGAAAGCCATGAGACTATCTATAGGGAGAGGACTTTTTTTTTTTTTGGTAAGAAATTTAATGACAATCAACTGTTTTTTTTATTAAAGCCACTGAAAATTCACCCACAGCTTTGGAACAAGCTAGCTCTGTTAAAACTAGGCTTCCCCCCCACACACACCTTTAAAACAATGCACATTTCTGTTTCTGTGCCTCAAATCCACAAGGATTTGATCCTGATCCATCCCGAAACCCCCAAGTGACCTGAGGGGTTGAGCGTCCATGTATGAACCTAAACAGTGAGGGCAGAGAGTAGGTAAGGAACCCCTCGTCTCTTTGGGTGCCTGATCAGATTTTTGAGAGAAAATACTTTATGCCCCGCTAACTGAGGACCAAACCTGATGCATTTTCCCCATTAAGCCCTTGTCCGAAATCAATAGGGAATTTAACCATGACAAATTGGCTCTCTGACTTTGGGTTATGTGGTATGTTCCTCAAATCAACATGCAGCACTGCAGCCAGAAGGACTGGTTACAGCTAGTTGCCAGGAAGCTTCAGAAACCAACCAAGATGGTCAAAATATTGTCTGCCTATGGTAAAAAAATTAAATAAATATATGAATTAGCTTTATTTCTCTAGTGCCCCCCTGTTGCTATAAGGAAACGTTTTAATTCAGTCATGGTTTTGCCCCTGTAAATCTGATGCAAGACTGATAGCGACAAACAATCATCCCGTGGTTGTATTTCTATGTATTTTTAGCATATTTGTGGGTTGTATTTTAAACACACTAGTGATTGCACCCCTCTGGAATTATTCCTGCTGTTTATTGGTGTTAGCAACCTCAAGCTACGTTTGCAAAGACGTGAGCAATTCCGCCTTTGGAATTTATTCACCTCTGTGCTTCATGTATCTTGCATTGACAGCTCAAGTAAACTGAACAGAACATTTTTCTTTAAAGGTGCAGTGATTTCCTAAGTGAGAGCTGATTTCGGTATTGCCTGTTGCCATTTCTCCTGACGAGAGGTAATGACCACCAATGACTTGCCACCCTTAGCAGGATGATGGATGGATCCTCCATGTAGAGCAGAGAACTTATTAAACTTCAGAAAACGATATATTTCAAAATCTTCATGCAGAAACCTTTGCTAAGGGTAATATCTCCCAGAGACATCCTCCTAATGATCTCCAGAGGATATCTGGTGATCTGGATACCCTCTGAATATCTACTGGTGGAGAGAGGGGTGGCACTGCTATTAAATGGCACGAAGGTACTCCACAAGGTGCCCACATCTATTCTGAAAGTTTACATGAAAAATATATGGGTTGTAAAGAAATAAAGGAGCAAGTATTTCATTTCAATCCAGCTATTGTAAACCCAGTTACTCATCCTGCTCCAGGCTGCTTGCATTGGTATATATGAGAGTTATTATATTTGGACTGCATTTATAGCAATTGCAGGGACAAATTTTCCCTATTCCTTTCTTCCAAATTTCATGTTCTCCAACTGTCCAGAGATATGTCATTCCCTCTCTTTTGATGCCCTTATTCTGGCTTAAGAAATGGCTCCAAAAAAAAAAAAAAAAAAAAAAAAAAAGATGCTTTGAATGTTAGTTGTGACAGTTTTTTTCTTCAGGAGATGCTTGGGGAATATTGAAAGAATGAAAATATTTTAAATATTCCCTTTTTAATGTTCCACTTAATAGGACTAATCTCCCTTTTATAAATAGGTAATTAACATTATTTTCTTTTTTATTTGTGTCTTTTAACATGCAAGACAGGGTGAAAGGCAAGCAAAAGAACTACCTTTTTTGAGGATGGTTAACACTACCAGTGTTATAGATCTCAAATATGCAATCTCTTGCTGCTAACATCAATACACACTCACAGTGCACCCAGTGATGAAGGAACTGTTGCTGTGTATGCTTTGAATGTATATAAGGGATGATTTATTTTCCTTTCTGTCTTTTTTCCTTCCTTTCTGTACTACTTTAAAAAAAAAAAAAGAATTGATATGAAACCACAGAATCAATGCTAATGTACCACATTCTGTTTCTGGCCTGAATATATAAAATACAAAAGAAATTCCGTGTTAAAGCTGCAAATTCCCTCCTTTACCATGCTGTTTGAGTGCTGCAGGGGGTTAGACCAAGGGGATGAGCTGTTCCTCCATGTGCACAGCAACAGCTCGGATGCTCCGTACGAGTCCGAAGATGCAGTCCCATGCCTGCTTCACAGCTGCCTTGCACACGTGTGCCAGAGAAGGATCACCACTGATATCTGAGGATATTTTTGTATGCTTTAATATATTCTGTATGTTTTTATGGCCAAGGCATTGAGGGACACTTGAAAAGTGCCTGTTTGATCATTTTCTTTGGTTCTGATAAAAAAGCCCTTCATTTGCTTTTGAGATGGACTAAATTGGTTTCTTGTATGTGTCTCATTCCACATTAATAGCAAAAGGATGCTCTGAGTACCCCTCCCCTTCCCCCAGCTTCTCCAATGGCATTCAGAATGGCAAATAAGAAGGAGTATTTAATTAGAAAGCTTATTTCTAGGGCTACAATAATAATAATAACAGTAATAATAATAAAAGAAATTAAGAGGAGACAAAAGGTGAGAGAAGAGACTGGAGTAAGGACAACTAAATCAGGTCGTTGCTGGCTCCCCATGCCTTTTCTTTTTTAAAGATGGTAAATCTGAAGGACTAGCACAGATGAAAAACCAAGACTGAAGGTGGGTGGAGAAAGCAGTTTTAAAACCTGTGCAAGCAGGGATGAAACAGCTTCTGGCAAGGAGGGTACAACACTAAATAGCTTCATTGAGCAAGAAAGAGAAAAGGAAAGGGTGAGGGGACACGATGAAAGGGACGAGGAGAAGGCAAGGGGATCACTGTGCGCATGGGGAAAACGAGATTTTTCAGTGCCTTCACCTCCCACGTTAAGACCGTGGCAAGGACAACAGCAGAGATTTAAGGGAGATGCCCAGCATCTCTCTCTCTCTCCCTGTCTTTTCCCACTCCCAGTCACACTCTCTCATTCGCAGAGGTGCGGACAGACATGCGTTCCCAAACACACGGCACCCCGTCAGTCATTTCCTCTGCCCCCCCGGCCCTGGGAGCACAACGTCCCCCTCATCCATCATTTCGGTGGCTGAACTCCAGCACCGTGCCTCTTCCACTCATTTTTTTTTGGCTGGACCTCTCCGCTATCCTAGTCAGCGCTCACCACAGACTTTCTAGAAAATCAGAGTTTTCTACCCAAAATATCTCTTTTTTCCCCCCATCCCTTAAGAAACGCTGGTTTAGAGACAGAGGTGATCTTGAGCAATAGAAGATTCTCCTGCTAATTATATCCACACTCACTCTCCTTCATATTCAGCTTTCATATTCACAGCTATTATGACAAACAGATCGGAGATATTTTCGCCGTGTTCAGTTTATCATTATGTACCAAGGTTACACTTTTCCTTGACCTGCTCAACCCAGTCTAATATTAACAAATTGAGCGTTTATACGGG